GTTGATGGTATTCAGTGGGCAGATTAGAGGTTGGAGGTATTGTATTCTACTGGGCTTGTACTGAGAATTGTGCTTCTCATTTTCAGAAGCCTTTATACTTAGGGAATATACGTTAATCCAGGACAAGAATTGCATGGCTGATAGAATTTCAAGCTCGCTGTACACAACGTGAGATGGTACCATTAGACAGGAGCTTTGAAATAACGGGAAATTCATGCAAAAATGTACAGGCTTGATAAAAGATGTCATCAGGGAGTGAATATGAGCTTTTGTGAGATGTGTTCTCGTGTCCGATTTCTATCAGGCGTTATTTAATGACAGGTCCTTTATCAATACAGTGTCACCTGCTGTGGCTGGCGTGTCTTCTTGCAGACCGGGGCCCAGAGTGGGGATATAAATACTGCCATATGTATATACAACCCCCTGTGCCATATGTATATACAACCACCTGTGCCATATGTCTACATAACCACTTGTGCCATATGTATATATAACCACATGTGCCATATGTATATAACCACCTGTGCCATATTATATACAACCCCCTGTGCCATATGTATATACAACCACCTGTGCCATATGTCTACATAACCACTTGTGCCATATGTATATATAACCACATGTGCCATATGTATATAACCACCTGTGCCATATTATATACAACCCCCTGTGCCATATGTATATACAACCACCTGTGCCATATGTCTACATAACCACTTGTGCCATATGTATATATAACCACCTGTGCCATATTATATATAACCACCTGTGCCACGTGTGTATATAACCACTTGTGCCATATGTATATATAACCACCTGTGCCATATGTATATATAACCACCTATGCCATATGTATATATAACCACCTGTGCCATATTTATATATAACCACCTGTGCCACGTGTGTATATAACCACCTGTGCCATATGTATATAACCATATAAAGTTAAGGACTAACCCAATATTCAATATTTAAGTATTGTATGCATCATAATATGAACTATTAAATACTTTAATATTGAAACTTTGGGTGGTCCTTTTTTGTGTTAGGTATAGTTTTATCTGATTCCATAGCTGTTTATACTGAAATTTACAGTAGCCCAGGTACCAATTCTTTGATACAATTAAGAATAAGATTTGGCCTCTTGAAGGAGGAAATATAAGGATTGGGTAATTAGTTTGATGCACAAAATAAAATTTGGTTGAATAATATATCGATATATACAAGATTCATTTGAAACTCAGGTATTGAATGTATAATGTAGGTATTAAGAATTAATTTGTTCTGGTGGTGATAGGCAATGATGGAGAAGAATTCATCTGTGAAAGGCGAACTGTGGTATATCTGGCTCTCGTCATGCTTCACGACATGTGCATTGAAACACTGTAATCACTGTATTCAGTGTGTTTGTAAACACCTGTCAAAGGTAGAAAACTTAAAAAAACTAATTCAAAATACCTTATGTTCAGGACTTTTATTGCAATTGTGAGACTTGTTAAGGCGTGTGTTCAAAGAGGGCTGATGATATCCTTTGTGTTAAGTGGTTGTGTGCTAAAGAAGAAACCTGTTCAGACATCTTGTGGAGTTGTCTGTACATATCTCTGTGACCGTGTAAATGTGTGTTCTTTGTAAATCTGTGTAAATGTTTGTATCGGTGTATATTTAAGGGTATATCTGTAAATATGGGTATATCTGTAAATGTGTGTATGTCAGGGTGGGTACATCTGTAAATGTGTATATCTAAGTGGGTATATCTGTAAATGTGTATATCTAAGTGGGTATATCTGTAAATGTGTATATCTAATTGGGTACATCTGTAAATGTGTGTATCTAAGTGGGTACATCTGTAAATGTGGATATCTAAGTGGGTACATCTGTAAATGTGGATATCTAAGTGGGTACATCTGTAAATGTGTATATCTAAGTGGGTACATCTGTAAATGTGTATATCTAAGTGGGTACATCTGTAAATGTGTGTATCTAAGTGGGTACATCTGTAAATGTGTGTATCTAAGTGGGTACATCTGTAAATGGTGTATCTAAATGTAAATGTGTGTATCTAAGTGGGTACATCTGTAAATGTGTGTATCTAAGTGGGTACATCTGTAAATGTGTATATCTAAGTGGGTACATCTGTAAATGTGTATATCTAAGTGGGTACATCTGTAAATGTGTGTATCTAAGTGGGTACATCTAAATGGGTACATCTGTAAATGTGTGGGTATCTAAGTCTAAGTGGTACATCTGTAAATGTGTGTATCTAATGTGTATATCTAATGTGTATATATCTGTAAATGTGTATATATCTAAGTGGGTACATCTGTAAATGTGTATCTAAGTGGGTATCTGTAAATGTGTATATCTAAGTGGGTATATCTGTAAATGTGTATATCTATGTGGGTACATCTGTAAATGTGTATATCTAAGTGTATATCTAAATGGGTACATCTGTAAATGTGTATATCTAAGTGTATATCTAAGTGGGTATATCTGTAAATGTGTATATCTAAGTGGGTATATCTGTGAATGTGTATATCTAATTGGGTATATCGGTAAATGTGTATATCTAAGTGGGTACATCTGTAAATGTGTGTATCTAAGTGGGTACATCTGTAAATGTGTATATCTAAGTGGGTACATCTGTAAATGTGTGTGTAGTCCAAACTGTGGATCATATAAATCACTGGATTGTCTGGTACAGACTTGGCCATCAATAGTCCTGCTATGATTCCCTCGTCACTTCAAACCGTTTTCCTTCATGAATTCTGTTTGTTAGTCATAATCACTGGAATACTGAACAAATTTTATGGACAGCAACTTCTTTATTTCGAAAGAAAGAAGTTGCTATCCATAAAGTTTGTTCAATATTGTATGTCTCAACTTCCAAAATGTCACTCATACAAGTGATCACTGGATTTGAATATTTGTGATGTTTTTTAAGTGGTCTTTCTTTTACCTTGAACATATCTTTTATTTATCAAAATGAAACAAGCAAAATGGAACATATGCATGTCCTTCTTCCAAAGCTGCTAAGCAGTATTGTCAATAGACCATAAGCAGCATTGTTGTCATGTATTGCTTTTTTTTTGGCTTTACAAAAAGTATCATTGAAATCTTTCAACCTAAGCAATTACATGATGTTTGTTATTTTAATTCCTTGATATTAAATAAAGTATTTATGAATGGATATTTGTAAACGTATTCCCTGTATTTGTGAAACATATCATTATCGCCTCCTAGTGCATTTGTTGCAGCCCTAGCTATTTACAGGCTGCCGTTGTGTAGCTGGAACATTGCTGAAAACTAAACAACAAAGAAATGATCCCTTCATACCCCAGCTTCAGGACACGCGAGGAAAGTTTTGAAATGGCACTATCTTCCTTTTCTTCCATAGCCTTCCATAGTCATGCTGGTCGTGTCCTGATTTCAGGCAGCGCAATGCGCCACGGAACTTGGCATAAACCGCCTGTCTTTCAAACAGCGGCGAGCGTCGCACTTTACCGAGCTCATCAGCAGCGAATATGTCGCAGCCTTTGAATGCGTACCATAACCCGTTCCGCGTCAGCGCCACGGAATGCTCGTCGTTAACGGAGAAGCTGTCGCATTGCCGAATGAGTCATTTTACCGGTTCCGGTTGATCGAAGCGTCATCGTGGACCGGAGCGCGGGTCAGCCAGCCGTCCGGTTGTCGGTTCCAAAACCGCCGCCTATTGTCGCGGCGCGAGAGCAACCGCCGCGTCCGTCGCCTGCTGCCGTCCGCCCGGTTCAGTCTGCCCCGCGTCGAAGCGCCGCCCCATGCCGCACGAACGCCCCATCCCGCCCCAGCCAGCCAACCGATATTTTTGTCCATTGTTCGCCCGCCCGTCCGCCCGCCATCCCGTCGTCCCAGCGCCTTCGTTCCTGCGTTCCAGTCCGTATGGAACGGCATGCAGTTCTTCCCGTTCCCGTCCCGTCCCAGCGTGTCGAAGCGCCCTGCGCCCAGCCCGGCCCGCACGCCCGTCGCCCATCTGCCCGCCGACAGCCCATCCGATATCAATCGATCCATCGATCGATTCAATCCGATGATATCCAATATGATCATTATCGATTGATCCGAATGATATCGATGATTGATATCAAATCATCGAATCGATTCCGAAGTCCGTATATCGAATCATCCCATCCGATCCATGATGTCGATTGATCTGATATCGAAATCAATATTCCGTTCTGAACCGTCCGATGGAGTCCGAATATCGTCGATCCGTCGATATGAAGATCGATCCCAGATACGTCTATTGATCGTTATCCATCCAGAATATCCAGAATTCCGCATCGATCAGAACCGTTCCATCATCATCATTGAATCGATCAGTCGATATCCATAATCGATCCGAACCGGTTCCATCGAATGATTGGTATCGATCGTTCGATAAACGCCAGCGTTTTGTTGATTGATGTCGAATATGTCGTTCCGTCGTTCGTACGCAGAAATCGATATTCGAATATGTCGAAGGTTTGTCGACTTCGAAATGAATAGCGTCCATATCCGAACCTGGTTTGATCCATCCACAACCAGAACAACTGAACGAAATAGTCCGTATCTTAATCATCGTTAGTTTATCCATTTCGTTCATCCGAACCTTTCCAGTCATTCGAAACCGCTTTCATCAACGTTGATCCAGAAGACGAATCAGGTTCCGAATCGAACCGGATATCCGCGAACGTTCAAATAGATAGATGAATCGTTCGTCATGTTGATGATTTATGTTCCGGAATTGATGAACCTGGTTGTTATTCGTCGTTATCCATCCTTAACGGTACGCACCAGCCGAATCGATCCATATCCTGAAATGCCTTCGACGAAAGATGAGCAGCCGTTCGAAAGATTTCCAATTCGGACTTTCAGAACATACCGGTATCGTTTCGAAGATCCGGATCGAAAGATATACGACCATCGAATTTTAATCTGTTTCGCCATACTGGTTAATCGTTCGTTATCGGCGTTTGTTCTTCAACTGAATGGTCGTAGCTGGTACGCTGAATCCAGAAGGTATGTTCAACCCTGAATGCACAACGGTTGACTTCGTATGATCGACGTTCCGATATCATAAGTCGAAATTTCAGTTCGTTCAGCGCCCGGTTTGAACGATCCAGCGAATTTTAATTCGATTTATGCTTTCAGCGAATTCAAAGAACAGCGATTCCATCAATATCTTTAGCACCGATAGCGTCGCCGGTGTTCAGTTTGTTTTGTTGAACTCTGATATCTGATCTACCTTTTGATTGAGATCCTTCCGTACTGACGAACGACGAATCCTGGTAATGAAGAGTTTCGACGAAGCCCAGTCGTCGAAATAATGCCGATGCAATCAAAGTTCCGCCGGATCCCAGATCGATGAAATCGATCCTGTCGTTTGCCAGCGCCCGAACGCCGGTAATATCGTCGACGCACCGATTAATACGAATTCCGAAACCGATATCGATATCGCGAACGAAACCGTTAACGAAACGGTTCGATATCCATTGATCTGGCGATATCGAAGAGATTGTTCTTCCGTTGAAATATTGAGTTCTTTCGAAGCGGTGAAAACTGAATAATTCCATTAATAGTTCGGATTCGCTGGATCCCTTTAATGAAAGTGGTTCGATTTGAGTTCGAATTATGGAGTTCATCGGTTTCAACGATGATATCGTATTTTGAATTTCAATTCACCCATTTCATCGAAGAAATGGAGTCCTCCAGCGACAAGTCGCGTCCCAACGTCATGAATCGTTCAATCGTCGAATTATCCCGAAATGTTCATCGATTCCGACAAACCGAACGAATTCGAATTCAAACGTCGAATCGAAGCTCATCCCGAAACCAGTCATCGGATCGAATGATTCCAACCAATGATCATCCTCCGAAAATCACCGTTCAACCGGTTTGTTCCGTTCACTTCCATCAGATTGAATATCTCAAACAACATCGAATTGATCAACCCAAAACATCAATTGAATCGAGAACTTCCAAATCAATTGACCGAATCGATAACCAGTCCGTCACCAGATCGACGTTCATCGATCGAATCGCATCCGTTCGTCAATCGATATCCAAACGACCGCCCGATTGAAGAATTAAATAATCATCGGATTGATATCCTCCGCACCCATCATCGAATCGAATGAACGTCCACCGTTCGACGTCCTCCATGTCTCCGTTCCGATCGAATTTATCATCAGATCGACTGTTCATCATCGATTTTGTTGATGTCGTTCATCGACCAGTTCATCGTTGATCGAATCATCCGTTCATTCCAGAACGAAATCGATCCAAACCATCCATCGATCGTCAACTCCGAACCATCGAATTTAACCCCGTTCATCGATCGACCATCCGGCAACCATCATCGAATCAACCAGATCGAACGCAAACCATGACCGACCGGCATTAACTCCGTAACCTTTTCCATCGTAGTCGAGTATCCAGCGTCCGTCGACGAATCGAACGATCCTCGCACAACGCCCATCAACCCAACGCATCGACCGAATCCAACCAAAACGAATGACCGAAACGACGAATCTCCAAACGAAACCATCGACGAAACGCGATTCCGGTATCGTTCGAGACGAGTCCATCTGAATCGCATTCAACCAGCCCATCGAAACGAACCCGTGTCCGTAATCAAACCGTTCATCAAACTTTGATTTGGCGGTGGAAAGAAAGTGAGGGGAGCATTTTATGGATGAGAGTTAGAGAGATTGAGATTTATGGTTCTATCCGGTTATTTGCCCCATTTTACTACGTATGAAATTAATTTCGCGTGAGGAAATTCGATTTCGCATCGACGAAATATTAATTCGATGGCGAAGTTGTCCCGGAATATGGTCCCAGTTATCTATCTTTAGTTATTCTTGTAAGGGGAATATTGCCAATGTTACTGGCGGATTTCTTTGTACTTCTAGACTCTGCTGGCCTGGCCTGTCCACTATCAATGTAAACTGGTTTTGTTTTCAGATGATGTGGAGGTAACACCGGCCAAAATACCTGTTGTAAAACCAGCCACAAACAAGGCCAATCCAAAACTGGGCGTGGGAACTGTAGCATTCAGCCATGACTGTAAATACATGTATACTAAAAATGGTAAGTTTCCTTGCAACGTTTTGTTAATTGAGTCCAACTCGTGTGAGCATTCCTAGTCAGATCTGGTCCCCAGCCACCCTTGCTGGTTGAAAGGGGCGACCAAATGGATAGGGTGGCCAGACTCGCTGATTTGGTGGATTTCTTGCATCATCTGGATCACTGAGCAATACCCGGTATATTAATCACTGTATTGTCTGGTGAGGACTCCGTTATTTACAGCGGGACATCATGTAGCTTTAGTATCAGGGATGGCAATTTTCTGCTGATCTGCGGATTTCCGCCAATTTTATCTCAAATTGATCAATTCCAAAACCCCATATGATGACACAATATTAAGTTTTTAACTGAAAATAGATTTTCCTGTTGCCGTCCCTGGAATATTGAGAAGACGCGAACAAATGTATGATGTTAAACAAGAAACGAACAAATGTACATGTGAGAACTCCGACTGTAAGACACTTACACCAGCTGCATGACGTTAACCTGTACCCTATTCTGTTTCCAGACAACATGCCCAATGCATTGTGGATCTGGGATGTGCAGAAACTGTCCCTGTCAGCAGTCCTGGTTCAGGCAGCGCCCATTAAATGTAAGAACCTGTTGCTTGACATCTGTTGATATGGTAGAAGCCTGTTGATATGGTAGAAGCCTGTTGATATAGAAGCCTGTTGATATGGTAGAAGCTTGTTGATATGGTAGAAGCCTGTTGATATAGAAGCCTGTTGATATGGTAGAAGCCTGTTGATATGGATATAGAAGCCTGTTGATATGGTAGAAGCCTGTTGATATAGAAGCCTGTTGATATGGTAGAAGCTTGTTGATATGGTAGAAGCCTGTTGATATAGAAGCCTGTTGATATAGTAGAAGCCTGTTGATATGGTAGAAGCCTGTTGATATGGTAGAAGCCTGTTGATATAGAAGCCTGTTGATATGGTAGAAGCCTGTTATGGTAGAAGCTTGTTGATATGGTAGAAGCCTGTTGATATGGTAGAAGCCTGTTGATATAGAAGCCTGTTGATATGGTAGAAGCCTGTTGATATAGAAGCCTGTTGATATGGTAGAAGCCTGTTGATATGGTAGAAGCCTGTTGATATGGTAGAAGGTAGAAGCCTGTTGATATGGTAGAAGCATGTTGATATAGAAGCCTGTTGATATGGTAGAAGCCTGTTGATATGGTAGAAGCCTGTTGATATGGTAGAAGCCTGTTGATATGGTAGAAGCCTGTTGATATGGTAGAAGCCTGTTGATATGGTAGAAGCCTGTTGATATGGTAGAAGCCTGTTGATATGGTAGAAGCTTGTTGATATGGTAGAAGCCTGTTGATATAGAAGTTGATATGAGAAGGCTGTTGATATGGTAGAAGCCTGTTGATATGGTAGAAGCCTGTTGATATGGTAGAAGGCTGTTGATATGGTAGAAGCCTTGTTGATATGGTAGAAGCCTGTTGATATGGTAGAAGCCTGTATGAGAAGCTTCCTGTTGATATGGTGATATATGGTAGAAGCCTGTTGATATGGTAGAGAGCCTTGTTGATATAGAAGCCTGTTGATATGGTAGAAGCCTGTTGATATAGAAGTAGAAAGCTGTTGATATAGTAGCCTGTTGATATATGGTAGAAGCCTGTTGTAAGCCTGTTGATAAGCCTGTTGATATGGTAGAAGCCTGTTGATATGGTAGAAGCCTGTTGTTGATATGGTAGAAGCCTGTTGATATGGTAGAAGCCCTGTTGTTGGTAGAAGCCTGTTGATATGGTAGAAGCCTGTTGATATGGTAGAAGCCTGTTGATATGGTAGAAGGCTTGTTGATATGGTAGAAGCCTGTTGATATAGAAGCCTGTTGATGAAGCCTGTTGATATGGTAGAAGCCTGTTGATATGGTAGAAGCCTGTTGATATATGGTAGAAGCCTGTTGATATAGAAAGCCTGTTGATATTGATATGGTAAAGCTTGTTGATATATGATATGAAGCCTGTTGATATGGTAGAAGGCTGTTGATATGGTAGAAGCCTGTTGATATGGTAGAAGCCTGTTGATATGGTAGAAGCCTGTTGATATGGTAGAAGCATGTTGATATGGTAGAAGGCTGTTGATATGGTAGAAGCCTGTTGATATGGTAGAAGCCTGTTGATATGGTAGAAGCCTGTTGATATGGTAGAAGCCTGTTGATATGGTAGAAGCCTGTTGATATAGAAGCCTGTTGATATGGTAGAAGCCTGTTGATATAGAAGGCTGTTGATGTGGTAGAAGCCTGTTGATATAGAAGCCTGTTGATATGGTAGAAGCCTTTGGATATGGTAGAAGCCTGTTGATATAGAAGCCTTTGGATATGGTAGAAGCCTGTTGATATAGAAGCCTGTTGACATGACATGGTAGAAACCTAGTTAGTGTTGGTGGAAACTTGTTGGTCAGGTGAAACCTTGTTAATGTTGGTTGGAACCTGTTGGTGTTGGTTGGAACCTGTTGGTGTTGGTTGGAACCTGTTGGTGTTGGTGGAAACCTGTTGGTGTTGGCTGGAACCTGTTGTATTGGTTGACAGCTGCTTGTTGAAATCTGTTGGTTCGATAATAACCCTATTCTTTAAATGACCGTTTGAAGGTGGTATTATGAACAAGGGAGATAATCCTAAAGCAACTTTGTTGAAGGAGGTAGAGACTTCATGGAACTGAACCACTGTTAAAGGCAGTAGTAGTACAATGGGGTTCCTGCCGTAGTTTCGGCTGGTGGTTGAGTTGAAATGTGTTTCCCTCTCCAGCAGGTATGAAAAAATGGTGTTATGTGTTGGTGCGCACGTGCGTTTTCATGGTGGAAGTGTTTATTTTTTTTTTTTGCATTTTTATCCCACCGGCATGTAATGCGGTGGGATATAGTCATCGCCTCGTCCGTCTGTCCGTCCGTCCGTAATCATTTTGTTTCCGGAGCATAACTCAAAGACCGTTCGATATTTTTCAACCCAAATTGGTAGATATGTCAAACATAACCTAAGGTGGTGCCTTTTGCTATTTACAGATTATTGTCATTTTTATTTTTCTCGGTTTCCATGGAAACGTTTTGGACTTAGTCTTAAAGAAGGGTGGGCTTCGTTTCCGGAGCATAACTCAAGAACCGTTCAGTATTTTTCAACAAAACTTGGTAGATATATCAAACACATCCTAAAGTGGTGCCTTTTGCTATTTGCAGATTTTTGGCATTTATATTTTTCCCGGTTTCCATGGAAACGTTTTGGACTTAGTCCCAAAAGTGAGGGGTGGGCTTCGTTTCCGGAGCACAACTCGAAAACTTCTCTATATCTTTCAGCAAAACTTGGCAGATATGTGAGGCAGATCCCAAAGTGGTGCCTTTTGCTATTTGCAGATATTTGTGATTTATTATTTTTTTGGTTTCCATGGAAATGATTCAGACTTAGTCTCAAAAGGAAGGGATGGGTTTCGTTTCCGGAGCGTAACTCAAGAACCGTCCAATATTTTTCAACAAGACTTGGTAGATATATCAAACAGAACCTTAAGTGGTGCCTTTTGCTATTCACAGATTTTTGGTATTTTTATTTTTCTTGGTTTCCATGGAAACGATTCAGACTTTATCCCAAAAGTGAGGGGTGGGCTTCGTTTCCGGAGCATAACTCAAGAACAATTCAAAAATTTTCAACAAAACTTGGTAGATATATCAAACAGATCCTAAAGTTGTGCCTTTTGCTATTTGCAGATTTTTGGCATTTTTATTTTTCTTGGTTTCCATGGAAACATTTTGGACTTAGTCTCAAAAAGTAAGGATTGCTTTCGTTTCCGGAGCACAACTCAAAAACCGTATAATATATTTCAACAAAACTTGGTAGATATATCAAACACATCCTAAAGTTGTGCCTTTTGCTATTTGCCGATTTTTGGCATTTTTATTTTTCCCGGTTTCCATGGAAACGATTCGGACTTAGTCCGAAAAGTGAGGGTGGGCTTCGTTTCCGGAGCACAACTCAAAAACCTCTCTATATCTTTCAGCAAAACTTGGCAGATATGTGAGGCAGATCTTGAAGTGGTGCCTTTTGCTATTTGCAGATATTTGTGATTTTTTATTTTTTTGGTTTCCATGGAAATGATTCAGACTTAGTCTCAAAAAGGAAGGGATGGGTTTCGTTTCCGGAGCACAAGTGGAAAACTTCTTAATATCTTTCAGCAAAACTTGGCAGATATGTGAGGCAGATGCCGAAGTGGTGCCTTTTGCTATTTGCAGATATTTGTGATTTATTATTTTCTCAGTTTCCATGGAAACAATTTGGACTTAGTCTCAAAAGGGAGGGGTAGGTTTCGTTTCCGGAGCACAACGCGAAAACTTCTTAATATCTTTCAGCAAAACTTGGCAGATATGTGAGGCAGATCCCAAAGTGGTGCCTTTTGCTATTCGCAGATTTTTGTCATTTATTTTTTTCATGATTTCCATGGAAACAATTTGCACTTAGTCTAAAATCAAGCTGGACTTTAAGTAACTGTCAGATGATTTGTTCTTTCAAAGATGTGGAGGCCGGGGGGATATGTCATCTTCTGATGACTCTTGTATACATGTAGACGTAATGTTGAGCGATGACTTTATAAGAATCTCATTTTCGCTAGGGCAACGCTTTTTTTCAGCAGGAACCCCTGTACTACTACTAAGGCACAAACTTTTTCTCTCTGTGTTCCTGTATATTGTAGCTTTCATTGTCCTCACAGGCGTACAGTGGGACAGCAGTCAGACACGGCTAGCTCTGTGTACGTCCACCAACAAACTCTACATGTGGTCAGCCAGTGGGTGCTTGTCTGTGGAGATTCCTGCTGAAGGTAGGTAGACACGGCCAGGACCTAAGGAAATAGGAATTTTATTCACAATAGTTTCTACTTATCTTGCAAATATTTTTATTTAAAATGTTCATTTCAGTTTAAAAATTTAATCATTGCTCCCAAAATAAATGTTACCATGTCCATGTTATTTTTATCCCCCTGGCATGTAATTTGGGGGGATTTAGTTGACGGACGTGCGTCCGTTCATCTGTGCGTCCGTCTGTCCATAATCATTTTGTTTCTGGAACTCAAAAATGGTTGAGTAATTTCCAACAAAACTTGGTAGATATATCAAACAGAACCTTCAGTGGTGCCTTTTGCTATTTACAGATTTTTGTCATATACTAGTATATTTTTCTCGGTTTCCATGGAAACGTTTTGGACTTAGTCTTAAAAGGGGGTGGGCTTCGTTTCCGGAGCATAACTCAAGAACCGTTCAATATTTTTCAACAAAACTTGGTAGATATATCAAACAGAACCTTAAGTGGTGCCTTTTGCTATTTGCAGATTTTTGGCATTTTTATTTTTCCCGGTTTCCATTGAAATGATCCAGACTTAGTCCCAAAAGGGAGGGGTGAGTTTTGTTGCCGGAGCACAACTTGAAAACTTCTAAATATCTTTCAGCAAAACTTGGCAGATATGTGAGGCAGATGCCAAAGTGGTGCCTTTTGCTATTTGCAGATTTTTGTCATTTATTATTTTCTCGGTTTCCATGGAAATGATTCGGACTTAGTCCCAAAAGGGAGGGGTGACTTTTGTTTCCGGAGCACAACTGGAAAACTTCTTAATATCTTTCAGCAAAACTTGGAAGATATGTGAGGCAGATGCCAAAGTGGTGCCTTTTGCTTTTTGGCAGAATTTTGGCATTTTTATTTTTCCTGGTTTTCATTGAAACGATTCGGACTTAGTCCCAAAAGGGAGGGGTGGGCTTCGTTTCCAGAGCATAACTCAAGAACCGTTCAATATTTTTCAACAAAACTTGGTAGATATATCAAACAAAACCTTAAGTGGTGTCTTTTGCTATTTGCAGATTTTTGTCATTTTTATTTTTCCCGGTTTCCATGGAAACAATTAGGACTTAGTCCCAAAAGGGAGGGGATGGCTTCATTTCCGGTGCACAACTCGAAAAGCGTTCAGTATCTTTTAACAGAACTTGGCAGAATTTTGAAATGGTGCCTTTTGCTATTTACAGTTTTTTGGCATTTATATTTCTCATGATTTCCATGGAAACGATTTGGACATAGTTTTAAAAAAAAGTCAAGCTGGACTTACAGTAACTGTCAGATGATTTGTTCTTTCAAGTATGTGGGGGCTGGGGGGGATATGTCATCTTCTCATGACTCTTGTTTGTAATTTTTATTTTTTTTGTTTTCCATGGAAACGTTTTGGACTTAGTCTCACAAGGGAGGGTTGGACTTCGTTTCCAGAGCATAACTCGAAAACCATTTAATATCTTTCTACAAGACTTGGCAGATACCGTATTAATTACCTTTTGAGTCTAAATTGTTTTTGGTGGCCATTGTATTATTTGCAGGGATTAAGATTACCGTGTGTATTTGTCTCGTATATAGAGCCGGAAATAGCAATCAGCTGTGCACGTTTCCCAGTGACCTACCGGTGATTTAGTTGAAACATACACAATAAAATAATGGGATGAATTTTAATACATAATTCTATTATTTAACCCAAAGAAATATATCCTAGTATTGCGTAATTTAATTACAGGTTTTGCTCTATGAATGTAAAATATACATAATCAACACTAAGGTTATACGGGCCCTCATGAACATGGCCGGCAGAAGTTGTACTTGCAACGAATGAGGTGAAATAAGCAAGCCATTTAAAGTCACACACTTTTCCACCGATGTTACTGTAAACTAGCGGTGCATGGATAATGAGGCAGTGATCAGTTCATGATTGTTGATAATATGTGAAATTGGTGCTATCGCAGTTGGAGTGAAAAACGTGTGCCCTCAAGAACATGGTAAGCGGAAGTTGTACGCACATGGAATGGGGTGAAATAAGCAAGCCAGTTTGTTGACATGTTATCTTCCAGCTACAATAAGTATGATACTTAGCGAAACAAAATATATTATCCATTGTCTGTCAACTAAACCTCATTTTGAGGCGTGAGTAGACATAATCTGATGGTGATTTCGTTGAAAAATGCGGACTGAAGTTATAATTATCGGTACCTGCCAGTTGTCTGTGGTCTGAGTTTGCCGCGATTAGGACCCCATCGCAGGGGGTCGGCGTATGTACGAAACATACCATTTTGACACTGATTTTAAGAGTCAAGTTAAGGGGTCGGCTTATGTATGGTAATATACGGTATGTCACACATATCTTGAAGTGGTGCCTTTTGCTGTTTGCGTTTTTTTGGCATTTATATTTGTATTTATATTTCCATGGAAACGATTTGAAATTGGACTTTAGTAACTGTCAGATGATTTGTTCTCTCAAATTTGTGGGGACCAGGGGGATTTGTCATCTTCTGATGACTCTTGTTCTGAACTGTGAGCTTCTGTATGTGTTGTTTCAGCCTCGTTCCAGGTGAGCTCCTTACACTGGCATAAGGAAGGCAAGGCCCTGCTGCTGATGGGCAAGGAACAGATGTGTGTGTGCTTCATCACCAACAACAATCAGACTGACGGATGATGCGGTTGTCTCCCCTTGAAATGGCATTGAATGTGATATTACCAGTGTATATAAAACACCACTGTTTTGTCTGTACTGCCCTAACCAGTATGTGTAGTACATCATATTGTACAGATCAAGACCTTTGTTTTATTGTATATCTTGCATTGTGTGTTATTTGTACTGAGAGGAACTTCATTATACTATAAATGTATCTTGATGACAACATTATACTTGTACTATAAATGCATCTTGATGACAACATTATACTTGTACTATAAATGCATCTTGATGACCATATTATACTGTTATTCATGTTGCTGCTCAGGCCTAAAAAAAAACTGTTGTGGTTCCAATTACCTGACCGACCCTTGAATTCTGGTGCCGACCCTATTTTTTTTAGGCGGAATGAATAAAATAAGCTTTCGGATACCATTGTTTTTTCCCGGCACCAACAAATATCGGTCATTCTGACAGGAAAAGTCGATATGATGGCCGCAATCTTAATTGAATAAACAATTACTCATTGATAAATGCGTTATTAGTTTGCAAGTATGTTATAGCCTGTTACATGTCGTAGTTTTCTAAGTCACATGGGGGCGGTGGGGGTAGCCTAGTGGTTAAAGCGTTCGCTCGTCACGCTGAAGACCCGGGTTTGATTCCCATATTGGTACAACGTGTGAAGCCCATTTCACGTGTCCCCCGCCATGATATTGCTGGAATATTGCTAAAACTAAACTCACTCTCTCACTCTAAGTCACATAGCATGTGTCGAGTATATTTAACCAGGTCTTGTCTTATGTCACTGAAATGCCAAGTTACATTCAGTATACCAGGGTAGTAATCATACACTTGAGATATGGGTTTCAGGTGGATAATCAATCATATTTCTAATTGAAACATAACATACATTTGTTCATCCTCGATAATCTCCAGGGTATACGTTACGATAACTCTCCACTATACCCTGGATGCATCCATGGCTTGGGGCGATGATTTTATTACTTCCCTTGGCTGGCTTTTTATCCAATCAGGTGCCTACGCTGGGAAGTTGAGCGTACCACTCACAACTCGCTTACGCTTCTTAAATTATCTAACCGTTTAAACTTGGCAACACAATTGGTGCAGAGGTACTCTGTAAGAAGTAGAAGGAGTTCTCTCATATATTTTTTAAAGTTTCAGATCTGTCAATTTGTCTTTATTATTTCCCAAAAAATCTGAGTGGCACTGCGAACAAACCTTCGCGACTGCGACCACTATCCTTGTTGACACTGGCAAGCTTGGTTGTAACGGCGGCTTAGCTGATTGGCTACTGTGAGAATGCGGAGCCAGCCAAGGGAGGTAATAAAATCATCACCCCAAGCCATGGATGCATCCAGGGTATAGTGGAGAGTTATCGTAACGTATACCCTGGAGATTATCGAGGATGACATTTGTTCAATGAAACAATAACTTAAAGATAGTTATAGACATTGGCAAAACACTCTGTTATCCATACAGTTAATTAGCATCAGAAAAGTTCTCTGCAATTGGTTTGCCTTTTCTTGATATAAGAGAAAAAAGAATTATGAAATTTCAAAATTAATTAATTGTTTTTAGGTACTTTTATAAAATAGTTCAAGAGTAAAACTTAAAAAGTATTTCTTTTCAAACTTTGTCCACAAAAGCAGATGTCGATTTAATATGCGACATTTCGAACAAGGCAGTGCGTTTTTATCCCCCCAGCATGTAATGCGGGGGGATATAGTCGTCGCCTCGTCTGTCTGTCCGTAATCATTTTGTTTCCTTTCCAGAGCATAATTTTGCTATTTACAGATTTTTGTCATTTTTATTTTACTCGGTTTCCATGGAAACGTTTTGGACTTAGTCTTAAAAGAGGGGTGGGCTTCGTTTCCGGAGCATAACTCAAAAACCGTTCAATATTAATCAACAATACTTGGTAGATATGTCAAACAGAACCTTAAGTGGTGCCTTTTGCTATTTGCCGATTTTGGGCATTTAAATTTTTCCTGGTTTCCATGGAGTCTCAATAGGGAGGGGTGGGTTTCGTTTCCGGAGCACAACTCGAAAACTTCTTAATATCTTTTAGCAAAACTTGGCAGATATATGAGACAGATCTTGAAGTGGTGCCTTTTGCTATTTACCGATTTTTGGCATCCTTATTTTTCCCGGTTTCCATGGAAACGATACTTAGTCCCAAAAGGGAGGGGTGGGTTTCGTTTCCGGAGCACAACTCGAAAACTTCTTAATATCTTTCAGCAAAACTTGGCAGATATATGAGGCAGATCCCAAAGTGGTGCCTTTTGCTATTTGGAGATATTTGTGATTTATTATTTTCTCGATTTGCAGGGAAACGATTCGGACTTAGTCTCAAACGGGAGGGGTGGGTTTCGTTTCCGGAGCACAACTTGAAAACTTCTTAATATCTTTCAGCAAAACTTGGCAGATACGGGAGGGAGATGCCAAAGTGGTGCCTTTTGCTATTTGGCATATTTTTGGCATATTTATTTTCCCCGGTTTCCATGGAAACGATTATAACTTAGTCCCAAAAGGGAGGGATGGGCTTCATTTCCCTCACACAACTCGAAAAGCGTTCGGTATCTTTCAACAGAACTTGGCACATATATGAGGCAAATTTTGAAATTGTGCCTTTTGCTATTTACAGATTTTGGGCATTTATATTTCTCATGATTTCCATGGAAATGATTTGGACTTAGTTAAAAAAATGTCAAGCTGGACTTTAAGTAACTGTCAGATGATTTGTTTTTTCAAATATGTGGGGGCCGGGGGGATATGTCATCTTCTGATGACTCTTGTTATTAAAACTAAAATATGTTCAGAATGATCTTTGTTCTATCATCCATTTTATATTTCTTTTAATAACCAAGAGGTTAATGAGGATTGAGATTATACAAACAAAATATGCTTGACTGTGATTCTCTCATCACAAGCGATACAAAATGGAGGATCCTCTCCTTTCAACAAATATTCATGAGTAGACTTCGTTGTCAACCCTAGTAGGTATAACCCAAACAATACACTTTGAAGTTTGTTTATACCTACCCTGTGTTCCACTGTGGTGCATGAACTCCCTGATGTACTGTCAGATAGAGGGTTTCTTGGCAAATTTATATGGTCAATTTCAAAAATTTCCATTAATAACACAGTTTAAGTAAACTTAGGCTCAGTATTATTGGACCGCCTCCGTGGTGTAGTGGCTAGAGCGTCCGCCCGGAGAGCGGAAGGTCGCAGGTTCGATCCCCGACCGCGTCATACCACAAGATGTTAAAATATGGTACTTGTTGGTCCCTGCCTGGTGCTCGGCATTAATGGGTACAACAAGGACTGGTCGGCTCGGAGTCAGTATAATGTGTCTGAGTGGGGTATTCATGCTTCACTGCGGCATGGTATCTCCGTGGGGTAGCACCATAAAACCAGCTTCAGTCTGGGCTAGTACAAGCAGCCGCACATACACATACACATACATACGCATGCACGTCGTCATATGAGCGTTAATCCCAATTTCACCTCACCTCAGTATTATTCGTTACATTGCTATACTGAGTCTAACAAACCTAGTTGAAGGTCGCGTCAGCTAACCTTTGAGTGACCTATGACCATCCAATCAAACGGATTTAACCAATCAGACAACGACTACTTGTTAGGGTTCGGCGGGACGTACAAAACGTTTTTTGGATTTTCTCTTCCCTGGTCGCTCACACTGATCTATCAACGAACGAAAATCTGCATGAAACACATATGTTTGACCTGCAGTATATAACCTTAGGGGTTTCTAATGACATGGTTACTATTAGCTTATATTTCCGCAAGATGACATCCTTGAATATTGACAAAAACTCTATATTCAGCGACTGTTTGCTCGTTGCGCCCTCCATGTGTATCACTCGGAAGCGATCGTGTGCAAAATAGCATTGGGAATTGTTTGAGTTTTTGAGGTAAAGGTAAAAACAGTATGTACGAATGTTAACTTTCGAGAATTGGTAAGCTGTGTTCTGATAGGTCAGTCCAAAAGGTTAGCTGACGTGACCTTCTACTAGGGTTTGTTAGACTCAGTATAGCAGTGTAATGTATAATACTGAGCCTAAGTTTACTTACTCAGCCAAGGCTAGAAGTCAACACTCTTGCTCATCAAGGACACTGAACTTCACCGTTCAAAGTTAAGTGCCTTTAGTTTGCAAGACAGTGGTAATCGTGGATTCAAATTGATGATTAGAAAATGATTGTTTCAAGGTGTATAGTCACCAATCAGTGTTTGTGGGTTTAACTACATCGATGAAGGTTCATGGCCTGCAACACTCAGCATGTGCCTTACACATCAAGCTGAAATAAGGTTCCTTCTAAGCATTACCTCTGTTGCAAGTTCCTGCCACATCAAACTGACATAAATCCTTCAATGCACTTCCTGTCTTCACTAACAGAAACCTTAACTGTTCAACAGACATTCTCTTCAATACGAGGCATCCTAAAAACCTGCTGATGCCTCTGCACACCACAGGACATGATCACGTTTTTCTTGTGTGTGCCAGCAACTGTGATTTCAGTTTATACTTCAGTATATTTACCAAAATATATTAGGTTTTGATAAGCATACACAATTATAACGTAAACATTCCCTCTGGATTATGGTAGCCTTATTCCCGTGGATTCACAGAATACATACAGAAAATCAAAAGAAATTTTAACACTGAGTCATAGCTATTCCTAGTGGTATACAGAGCTCCAGATAAGATTTAGCTCATGTGGGTACTATACCCACTGTATTTGTTTGGAGTGGGTATTATGAATGTTGAGTGGGTATTTCATTTTCTGTTACCCACTGCTTTCAAATATGTGGTTATTTCAGTCATATTACTCACCTAAGTATTATGTCATTGAGTAAGTTTACTAAGCAGGTATGTTCTGCCTTATACCTAATCAAAACCAAGTTAAATAATGGAAATGATTTCATAAAAAATCACTCATCCTATACTGACAGTACAACTTGATAGCAATCGATGTCTTTTTCATGACGCAAGCGATTTTTATAAATATATTCCGTACGCATTTGTTTTAAACTTTTTGCGTATCTAACATTTTAAATGCGTAATTGGTACGCAACAATTATTTTTCAATGCGTAATTGGAAATTTTCTATGTGTATTTTACCCGGATACGCAGCTTATCTGGGCCTCTGGGTATACTTAATCTACCCCTGAGTTATCTCCCTTGATGCTGACGTCACTGTATTGTTCTCCTAGAACCCTTCATAATTTTTCTGTATGGTCCACGCACATGACGTGCAGAGAATCGAGTGAAATTTTCATTTCAAATCAAGTTTTAAGTTCTTCATATATAGGTCAGTTACAACTCGCATTGCATTTAATATTCAGTCGCATTGCTGTTTTCCAACGTATTTAGGATCTGAAGTTTTCC